CTGAAGTCAGATCCCCAGAAACCAGGAAGTAGGCGGGTCTTTCCACAGGGCCATGCAGCCTACTTAGTAGAGGTGAGAAACAGGAAAATAAAGAAAATAAAGGGAAAACACAAATATGACGGCGACAGCCTTAACACCTACATAACCATCACTTCTCATTTCATATCAAATGAGTGGGAATTAGTTTCAAATGTGCTTCAGACCAGGCCGCTTCACAGATAATGCTGCCAACATGCTAGTTGCTGTCGATATCACTGAGCTATTACATGTTGGCTGCTTTGCCCATGTGCTCAACTTGGCATCCCAGGCTACTCTTAAAACTCCTGGAGTCACAGGCTCCAAAACTCAGCATTGAATCGAATCCAATTGCATCAGATCGGATCGCAACAGCAATAATCAAAATCGAATTGAATCGTGAGTTTCCTAACAATACCCAGCCCCAATGGAAAGGGAGCAATTCAGACATTTGGGCAACTTAAAATCCTAGTGTGGATGCACCCACACTAGGATTTTGAGACAAACTTCCAAATGTCTGAAAACAGCTTAAGACCAATGTGTAGACGGAGTGAAGAGATGCGCCGATTTGTGTGTGAAATTCATCTGTCCTTCAAATTGAAGCAAATCTGAAGGAAGCAGAGCTGCAGACGTTACAGCTCCAGTGCCCCATGTCATGACCAAGCTGTGCTTAATGCAGACATGGGCAATGTGGATTCAACAAGTCATCTCCATGTCATGTATTTAATCTACCCAGCCAATTAACCAGGTGAGTCCAATCTGCACAGGTTAATTCACAGTGAAGATTGGACTCACCTGCTTCAGTGGCTGGGTAGAACAAATACATGACATGGAGATGACTTGTTGACTCCACATTGCCCATGTCTGGCTTAATGCACTTAAAACAGAACAGGCAAAGGATTTGAGAAACAAAATATGATGGAAACTACGGTTAAAGAAAAGAAATTGCAGCCAAAACAAAGATTTTTGAGTGGTTTATAAATGTATAAGGCCAGTGAAAGGTGATTTTAAGATAGCTTTATATGAATTCAGCCACGTTATTTTCTAATATGATACCAGGGGAGCATAAGGTAAAGCAAAGCTGTAGAAGTGAGTAAAAAAAAAACACAAACACATCTGAAAAAACTGCATCTGTCCTGCATTATTCCTTCTATACATCCTAGTCATATATTACTGAGCACAACGCAAACCATTACTCTTACTATATACTTTACAATAACCCAGAAATATGTGCTTGTTCTCAAGGTGACAAGAAAGAAAAAAGTTTATTTCACCTCCTAGTATTCACACTTTGTGAGAAACTTAGCTGCCAAACTCTTAGAAAATCCCTTTTGCTGTAGCCCAACTCATACCTGCAAAAGAAAACAGCAAATCAATAATAGCAGAGGAGGCATTTTTCATTGACGATGAGGAGGGCCAATTACTTTGTGTTAGTAGAGAGACGTATCAATCAGATGTTCATACTGTCTGCATACTCAGCAGCTGGCCGGAAACTACGGTAAGTAAAAGGGATGAAATAAACATACTTATTCAGAATGAATGAGGTATGATAGGAGCTGAGCTGTCACTGATCCCTTTTGGTTTGCTGGCGGCGCACCGGGACATCGGATCAGAGACATAAGGAACCGCTGATGCCCTTCTCAACACTACTGGTTGGACTATTTTATTTTATATTTTTATTCTAACAAAAGAGACATGAAAGTGTTAAACTGAACAAAGGAAAACACAACAGCAACACAATGGTAAAGCAGAGATTTTCTTGAATTGATGATGAGGAGGAGGATAGCAAAAGGCTTTGGAATCTAAGAAGACATCTGATGTAAATGTTCATTTTTTCACCACATTTTCCAACCAATCCATAAACTTTTTATCTCATAAGAGATCACTGGAGATACTATCACACCTAAACCAGAGGGGGGAATTTCTGAGCTGAAAATTAAAAGTTAAATTCCTAATTAACAACACACATCCCCGGTCCAATTAAAAAAATGATATCGCTTCGTTGTCTTAGCTGTGGGAGTGATGAATAAAACATGTAGCTACTTGTGGAGCATGGAACATGCTTTAAAGGAAAAGGGGCAAAGAAGTAGGTGTCTTTGCATAAACCATGATATTGTGCAAATTGTAATTATGAGAATTTATTTGCTACATTTGAAAAAAAAACCCTGCAATTTCAAGTAAAAAGTTTTTATGCTTCGATATGGTGGTTTTTTTATTTGGTTGAATCAAAATTCTTATTTTTCACAAAACTGCATCACCAGAGTCACATGATCTTCAGCCGTTTTTATTGCTTCGTAAAGAAAAATGAAGAAGAACCGGAGGTGGTTGGAGGATGATGGCACCCATTAGTGTCATGGCTGAAATATGGCTGTATCTCATGTCTTTAAATCTGCCTCTGCCATGTTGTTTTCAGAGTTATCGACTGAACAAACATATTCACGTATGATTTACATTTTCTTTGTTATGAAACACTGGTTACTGTTCTGACCAACCGTTATAGTGGACAAATACAAATAGTTTGAATAAAGCTAATTCAATTTTAATTCAGTTTATTTATATAGCGCCAACTCACTGCACTTTACAATTCAACCAGATCATTCAGTCAAATTGATTCAAAGGTTTTTATCTAAGGAAAACCAGCTGATTGCATCGACTGATTGACTCGAAGGTAATCCCTCACACTAAGCATGCTTGTAGCAATAGTGGAGAGGAAAACTACATTTTTTTCAGCAATTTGGACCAGCGTTAGGGCTGAACGATTTTGGAAAAGAATCTAATTGCAATTTTTTTTCTTTATATTGCGATTTAATGCATTTTTCCCCCCCAGTTTAATTGATCATGTCTTTTTTTAAACATATACAAACAACAAATCAATCTGTTTCATCGCTGTGCAGATTAGGTGCTAAAAGACACGCTGTGTCCTAATTAATGATCGCGATCTGCCTACGATATATTTCAACCAAAATTTATTTAATTTTGACTTTTCTCTACATAACCACAAGCAACAAAAATGGCCTCTAAATAAAGACAATTGTAAACAAGGACTATTTAAATCAAGAACTTTTAATGTTTTTATTAATCAGAATATTATTCAAGAGAACAGCTTTTAACTGATTTGGACATCAGTCCTTGTTGAACATGAAGTCCAAAGTGCAACCAACAAACCAGTCTATGTATTAAACTGATTAACTGGTACTTAGTGCTATGTATGAATATATAAACTCTAAAACAAGTAATAAAATTAGATTATCTCACTGCTGCAACTGTCTTCCCTTCCATGTGGAGGCAAATCCACTTTAAACATTTTACTGACACCTAAAGAACGCGTCTGATTCACTAATTGTTACATAGCCAACAATTGCAGACGTCCGCGATTTGGAAATTGCATTTCTTTCAATCGCGATTATATTGAAAATGCGATTAATTGTTCAGCCCTAACCAGCGTAAGGCTTTTAACTACAGTTTGTGGACTTCCTGATAGTAAAGAATTACAAAAGTCCAGCCTTGAAGTAACATATGCATTGACTAGTTTCTCAGCATCAACCCTGGACAGGAGATTTCTAATTTTTGCAATATTATGCAGATAAAAAAGAAGTAAATTCTAGAAACCTAATTGATATAGGATTTGAATGACAGGTTCTGATCATAGATATGATTTAAAATGATTTATTACAGAAAATCTTCTAAAACCAAACTAGTTAAAATGGGGGTGTGCAAAAACCTGGTTTAGGGAAGAAAACATGGTGAGTTCAAGGAGTGTTCTGTTACTTCCAGGCTGTTGTTAGAGCCCTACAGTCAAGCAGCCATTATTATGAGCTATAGTCGGACACCTAGAGACTACCAACTTAGGTCTGTTCTGCTCCTCCTTCCAGGCAAAGCCAACAGGGTCCCTCCCAACACATCTGGACAAAGTGTCACCAAGCACAGAAAAGCGTATTTTCCTAAACAGATTTACACTGAACCAAATAAGTGTAAAGTCAGACTGCTGCTACACCAAGTGTACATTTACCTGGACGAAGTGTAACCAAGTCATTCTGGGTTTTGATGGCAGATGTTTTCAAAAACTGCAATGATAGTGGCGGATTTTTTAGAGAACCAAGCATCAACTCATACCTAAGGTAGTTTTTGGATTGCAGGAGGAAGCCTGCAAATAACTAACAGATGGACAGAGAAAATGAGCAAACTCCAGGCAAAGAAAAAAGAAGTTTGGATTGGAGCGGTGGACATGGACAGTGTTTTTTATTTGTATAATGCTGACCTTTAATCACCAGAGTCCGGGAAACCAGCTTCAGATAAGAACGATCAACATTCTCATAGATTTTGATCAGTGAAATTGATGCCTCAGTACAATATTGACCCTTTTTTTCTCTTCTTCTTCCATTGCATGGAAATTATTTATTAACCATTAAGTAGTTGTGGCTACTTAGTCTTCCCTCTCTGGGTTATTTTCATTCTGATAACACTGATAACATGGAGATGGGGGTTCTTGGGTTTGTTCTTCTGCTTTTAGTACCTGCACTGGTGCATGGTAAATGCAATACATTTCTGAAATGATATACATCAAAAACTGTGTCTGATTTTTCTCTTCTGTGGCTTTGTGGTTTATCAGCTCAAACTTCTACGCCTTGCAGTGCTCCCAGGATAGATGCAGGTTTTTTTCTCCCGCTGCAGGAATCATATTCTCATGGAACTAAGATCAATTATGCCTGTGATGATGGATATAAACCACCGGGAAAAGGCTGGTGGGGAACAAGTGTATGTATAGATGGTGAATGGTTTGGCATACCGATCTGCGTTGGTAAGTGGTGCAGTCACGAAAAAGCCTGTATTTCTTTTATTTGAAGACTGACTATTAAAAAAAAAGTTTGATCTTAGGCAAACTTAGTTAAAATAAAACATCTCTAAGGACTCACTTCTTTGAAAGGAATTTAGTTGTGACTACATTCATTGTTTGAGTGTTTTACCTCTAATTTCATTATGTACAGAAAGTCTTCCTGTCTGCAGTGAGCCCCCTAAAAGACTCAATGCCATCGTCATTAATCAGCGCTATCAGGAGGTGTTTTCTTTAGATACACAGGTGGAATATCAGTGCAAAGATGGATATACAACAGAGCAAGGAGCCACCAACAAGTCTGTCTTTTGTAGAGCTGGAGGATGGACAGAGGGTCCAACATGTAGTAAGTGAACAGAGTTTTCATGAAACCAATTTTTTTACTTTTTGTCCAGCTTAAATGACAATGCACTTGAACATTATATACAGAACATACCCAAGCTATTGTATAGCTGCCATCTCATGCCATTTTTTATGAAGCACTTTTAGATCAATCCAGGTGAAACAAAGTAGGCATACTGTACATCTTTGGAGAAAATAAACAAAGATGAGAAAAACAGACAAGTTAAAGACACTATTTTAGAGCAGTTTGAAAAATCTTATAAATATTTTTTCTCAAGGTTTTTAAGCTCAGAAATTAAATGCAAAAATACTTAATTAGTCCCAAGGGGAAATTGAATGAAGAGAAGAGTTACATGTAAGAAGAGTAACATGCAAGACCCTTTCATGCAACTGGCTGTATGTGCCTCCTAGTTTTTATGTATTACCGTAAAAATTCAAAAAATATATCCACTGGACTTGGTTTTTCAAGATTTGAAGACGTTTCGCCACCTCTCCAGGAAGCTTTCTTAATTCAAATGTTTAGATCCGCAGTGAGTTTGAGTCTTATATAGACAAAGCCTTGTATCGCTTGAAAACATGCAAATGATATCCGATTCATCGACTATTCATCAACCCATTCATCGGTTACCATTTGCATGTTTCCAAGCGATACAAGGCTTAATTGTGGATAATTGTGGATCCCATCCTGTTGTTCCAAATGGAGAGTCTCTGGTATATCGGAGAGATCAGTTGAATTACACTTGCAATAGATATTACAAGTTGGTGGGTCCTGAGATAGTAAGATGCAGGAGTGATTTAAGATGGTTTGAACTCCCCAGATGTAGAGGTAAAAAAAACAACAACATTAGAGTTGTCACATAACAAAGACAAAGAAAAGTAAACATTTATTTTATTTTTTGTTTCAGTGAACTACTGTCTTCTAAGAAATGGAGCTTATGAGGATCTAAAATTAACCAAAGATGAATACATCCTAAATAATGGACAAAAGGAGTTTGAATGTCTCTCTGAGAAGTACTTGTTTAAAAATTATGCTGTGGTTCGATGCATTGATCAGAAACTGCATGTATCCAGATGTAAGTATCAGTTTAAGCACCATATATTTAGATACCAAAAGCAGTTAGCCAGAAATTTATTACCAACATAGTTTATAATTTACAGTCAAAGTAGCAACCAGCAACTTATTATTACAAATTAGAGCATTCAAGAAAAAAGTCAACTGGTTGACAAGTTGACCCAATTAAGCTGAGTCGACTGGTCTTTTAATGTGGAATAAGGTGTGAAGCCACAAACTATTTCTTGCTAGCAGCATATTAAGTTAGTTATGTTGCCTCACTATACATGTTTGTCTGAAAGGTGATGTTGTTTTGCTCAGTATTTTACCCTTTTATGAGGACACTGCAGGATTGCAGATGGAGTGGAGATAGAGGGAGCCTACATTTGTCACACATCTTGTTTTGGTCTAGAGGCAGCACTCAACCGTCCAATTTAGTGGTGAAATATAGCTTATTGTTCCTTTAACATACCAGAGTGGGACCACCTTTCTTTAAAAAGGGAGACAGGAGGGTGTGCTCCAATTAAAGAGGGATCACACTCCTTAGCCTGCCCGGTAAGGTTTACTCCAGGATGCTGGAGCAGAGGATCCGGCCGATGGTCGGACCTCAGATCCAGGAGGAACAATGCGGTTTTCGTCCGGGTGGCAACACACTGGACCAACTCTACACCCTTCATCGGGTGCTCGCGGGTTCGTGGGAGTTCACCCAACCAGCCAACATGTGTTTTGTGGATCAGGAGAAGGCTTTCAACAGTGTCCCTCGTGGTGCCCTGACGGGGTGCTCCGGGAGTATGGGGTCCGGGGCCCTCTGTTAAGGGCTGTCTGCTCTCTTTATGACTGTAGCAGGAGCTTGGTTGGCGTTGCTGGCATTAAGTTAGACCTGTTCCCGGTGCAAGTTGGTCTCTTCCAGGGCTGCCCTTTTTCACAGGTTCAGTTCATTACATTTATGGACAGAATTTCTAGGGGCAGCCAGGGACTGGAGGGTGTCCGGTTTGGGAACCTCAGGATATCATCTCTGCTGTTTGCAGATGATGTTGTCCTGTTGGCCTCATCATACCGGGATGTCCGACGTGCACTGGAGAAGTTTGCGCCCAAGTGTGGGGTGGCCAATATGAGGATCAGCACCTCCAGATCCGACACCATGGTTCTGCATCAGAGAAAGGTGGACTCCCCTCTTCAGGTCGGTGGAGAGTCCTTGTCTCAAGTGGATGAGTTCAAGTATCTCGGGTCTTGTTACGAGTGAGGGTGTGGCGTCGGCAGTGATGCTGTGGCTGTATCAGATTGTCTTGGTTAAGAGGAAGCGGAGTTGGGGGGCAAAGCTCTTGATTTACCGATCGATCTACGTTCCCACCCTCACTAATGGTCATCAGATCTGGGTAGTGACTTAAAGAACAAGATCGCCAATACAAGCGGGCGAAATGAGTGTCCTTCGCAGGGTGGCTGGGTGCACCATTCGAGATCAGGTGAGGAGCTCAGTTACCTGGGAGGTGCTCAGATTAGAGTCGTTGCTCCTCCATGTCGAAAGGACATGTTCTATTGGGAGGAGGCCTCATGGAAGGCCCAGGACACGCTGGAGGGACTATGTCTCAAGCTGGACCCCAGGGTCCCCCCAGAGCAGCTGGAGGAAATGTGTGTGGATCCGGAAGTCTGGGAATCTCTGCTTAGACTGCTGCCTCCGCGACCCGGCCCCTGATAAGTGGAAGAAAATGAATGAATATTTCTCTAATATCTGATATTTTGTGCATGATGTGTCCACAATTAAATTAAGAGACTTAAAAAAATTAAAATATATCACCTTTAGCTAGTTTTCGCAGCCATGATGATTTCTAGAGCCATGGATCCAGCATTGTAAATCCCACATGCAGGGAGCTAAAGTCCAGTTGAGCTACTATGGAGCAGGTAAACATGTAAAAGATGAAGGAAACTGGCTCCTCAGGGCTGGACTTAGCCAAAACAGGAATAGACACTGAAATGTTTTGTAATTCTCATGTATTTTCTGTTCTTTTCAGGTTGCTCCAGGGCACAGATCAATTTAGTGAGTGTTCATCTTTTGGATAAAAATTGTTTTAGTTGCAAACATTATTTAACATTTCTTATATATAAACATATCCATCTGGTATTGCTTTTATTTAACTCTTAAGCAATTTTTGTATTTAATTTCATTTCTGTAAACAGAGAATATGCGAAGATTCTACCATGAGGGTAAGATCTGGATCCATTCTGCCGATTGACTGAGAAAAAAAAGGAAGGACGGATCAATTAATTACAGCAACAGGTTGACTTCACGGCTACCCACCAAGCTGAGCTCCCATTCTGCTTTAATATGGCAATAAAGTTCAATCTTTCCCTGTTCATGTTTGTCTATGTCTGTAACTAAACAAAGTAAAAAGGGGAGAAAAAAAAAAGTATCTTTCCTTTTAATCTTCACACAACAGCAGTGATCGTAATTATTGCCTCTGAATGTCAGGAAATATCACTTCTGTAAAAACACAAGACAAACACAGAGATTACAATCCTTAAACACTTTCACTCATTCAAAATTACCAGAACAGACAACAGATTTTATTCTGAAAAGGTTTAAAAAAAAAACCCTCTTGGAATTAAAATAACAATTATTAATTTAAGCACTATAAAGTTAAAAAGATCTGGAGCAAACAAGGCGATGTCTTGAGTTTTGTAACACTTTTCAAGTTCACAAACCTATAAATGAACTAGTTCAAGTTAATTTGGTAAATAAAGTCATAATCCTCCACAATAGAACCTCATATTTTACCCTTTAATTGTGTGATCATAACATATAAAGAGAAATGGAAAATACAGGATGCAGTGAAGGTATACTGTATGTGCATTGAAGCCTTTATTTAGCCAAATTACACAGAACTTCAGAAACATACAGGAACCTTCAGGCTCTGCTGAAAAGATCTGGATCCAAAATGATTTCTTACATTCCTCATTCAGTAGTGCTCAGGGTTGGTGCTTAGGGGCCGGTTTAGGATTGGGCCCGTGTATCACTCATTCTTCTCAGAGTGAACGTTGCTCTCGTTCACTTTTCATTACTTCAAAACTGATCCTTTCAGTTCATTGTTCAATACAAATGTGAGGGTATTCAGTGAATGCCGTTCCTTGAACTCAATCATGCACAACACTGAAACTATAGTGTTCGAAACTAATAGCAGAATCTTTAAAGCAGAAGTCTGGTGAGCAAGGCATAATCAGTGGATCATTATTTATACCTGAAACTAATATGTTTGCAGTGATTAATCAGTAAAAAAATTATAATTTTTAGTCATGATCACCGAGTCTGGGAGCGTCCATTTTTGCCCAAGTATAGTAACACCTCACTCCTGACATCTTCCGGCAGTGACGTCACGGTGCGGTAAGCCTAGCGCCATTCTCCCCACTTTGCAAGCAAAATCAATGGGAACTACTAGACACATCTGCAATCAACAATTATTGGAGATTTCCAGAGGACTTCACCACTGAAATTCACCAGAGCTATAGTGAAACTGACAATGCCCATGTGCATGGCAGCTGGATGTTGGAATAATAAAATTTTGCAATATATATACAATTTTTTTTTATTTATTTAACCTTTCGATTCCTGATCCTCCACGGACGGGTTGGTCGTCGGATTGCCAACTTGAAGAGGGAGGATTTGCCATCGAACTGGTCAGAGAACAAACACGTAATATGTAGCCATCATTCGGCAGAAGGATGTTTTTTTAAGATGACTTGGATAATAGGGCGTTGTGACAAACACCAGATACAGCACTGGGACTTGATCAACAGCCGATCCCGCACCGTGACATCACAAACCAGTAGGTGGCAGTAGTGTTCTTTGACAAACATGGTTGCCTCCATTAAAGCACATTTAAATGAAAATTACTCTTACGTAATTAAAAGCACTTATCATTTATTGAACAGTATGCAATAATTTCATATTTAAAGTACTTTCAGAAGTTTAAATTCTGAATATGAGCAGAGTTTTCCTGCAGCAGGAATAGTTTGCGAACAATTAGCTTAACTGATCTCTTTAAATTGCCCGTATGAGTGAGTGAAGGGTTGTTTGTTTGTCTCTCTGTTACCTTGTTCTGGACTTTGGACCTCTCTGGGAATTTTGTTGATTTATACTTTGCTCCAATTACCTCAGATGTTATTCCTTTATATAGGAAAGGGATTAAACCCAATATAAATATGTTCCAAGGTTGTCTGAAGAGGGGGGTATAATGCATCAGGGAAAGATTTAATGATGTTTTGCTTTTGAGTTTCTTTGTTGTATTTTTTCAGTATTTCTTTTTTTTTTTTTTTTGGCTTTACATGTAAAGCAGTTTGGATTTTAAGGTCAGACTTTATAAGAAACCTCTGACATTCTCTCCTGAAATACCAACTTCTCTGATTTTTTCCACTGCATGAATCAGCTGAAGATTTCTTATTCTAAATCTAAACCAAGTGTGACACAGGGTTCTTCAAACAGGGGTGTTGTACCAAATAATAGGAATGTTTAATGTGTTTTATAAAAGACTACCATTAAATAAGGCAACATCTTGTTGTGCTCATGTCTCTAATTCAATTCGATCTAATTCTGTCTATTTATATAGTGCTAGTTCACAACACGTCATCTCAAGGTACTTTAGAGAGACAATTTGACCCGATCATATAGATTGATTAAAAGTTTTTTATCTAAGGAAAACCAGCTGATTGCATCACCAGCAATGCATCCATGTAGCAACAGTGAAGACAAAAAAAATCTCCAGGAGAACCAGGCTCAGTGTGAACAGCCTTCTGCTGAGGCCCACTGGGGTTCAAGAAGATAGAAGCAGACATACAAAAAGAAGCAGAGATACAAAAGGTACCTCATAACCAGCTCCATAGGCGGCCCCTTCCTGGAAAGACACATCCAGGCAGACGAGCTCCAAGCCAGCTCCCATGTCAGAGGATGAAAGAGAGCACATACAGCCAGTCACAGTCAGAGAAACAGGACTACTTTGAAAAAAAGACAAAGCTCCAACATCTATAATCAAAGCTACTGATGGCAACAGCATAGCTGATATTTCTCTTCAGCATGGTGTCACAGCCAAACAGGAACAGACCTGATGAAGCTACTGTGATGAGAAAAAGTATAGAGAGCATAAATTTAGAGGTTGAAATAACAAATACCACAGAATGGAAGAGCAGAGATAGAATGAAGCATGATGATGAGAAGTAGTCCCTATGTCCTCCAGCAGTCTAAGCCTATAGCAGCATAACAATAGAGATAGCTCAGGATAACCTGAGCCACTCTAACTATAAGCTTTATAAAAAAAAGGAAAGTTTTAAGCCTAGCCTTAAAAGTAGACAGGGTGTCTGCCTCACGGACTAAAACTGGTAGTTGGTTCCACAGGAGAGGAGCCTGATAACTAAAAGATCTGCCTCCCATTCTACTTTTAGAAATTATAGGAACCACTAGTAAACCTGCAGATTGAGAGCGAAGTGCTCTGTTAGGAACACAAGGAATGATCAGATCTCTGATTTAAGACAGAACTTGGTCATTTAAGGCTTTATATGTAAGGATTTTACATTCAATTATAGATCTAACAGGATGCCAACAGAAGGATAGGCTAAGAAACAGAAGTAATTCAAATGATTCCATTTTCAAGCAGTTGGCAAAAAGCTTTACTCACTGATGCTATATTTGCAGCACAATTTGTAAGGCTAGCATTTATTCTGAATTAATCTGTAATCACAATAAAGTTGAACTCTATGGTATTCTATTCTATTCCAACCCTAACTTGGATGGTTAAAAAAAAACATAATTTTATTTCATGTTGAGTACCTCAGAAAGTTTAAAAAACTTGCAACAGATCAGAGCACACCTGTAAATAATTTTACTGTGTTGTTTTTCCTTGATTCAACAGCCAGTAAAATATCCCTTCTTGCACAATTTGTATTGAAATGTATTGCAATGTTTACTTTCTCTTCACTTCTTATCTCTAAGCTGGGATGCCTTAATTATTAACAGGCTGTAATCTGTGTAAGGCTCCTAACTCTGCAGTTTTGTGGTGATTTGATTACTGTCAACATGTGGCTGAGGGGTTTGGGAATTGCTCTCCTGGTTTGGATCCCTGCAGCGCTGCATGGTAAGTGCAGTGAATTTAGTTGAGGATTAGCTAACATAATCTTTGACCATTTAATCTTTGTTTCTTTTTGCTTTTTCAGCTGAAAGTGTGGAGAGACGTTGCAGGGCTCCCGAACTGAGAGACGGTTACTTTCTCCCACTGAACGAATCTTATCCTCATGAGTCAGAAATAACATATGGCTGTGATACTGGATTTAAACCCATAGTTGAAGGATGGTGGGCAAGAAGCATATGTAGAAATGGTGTTTGGGTTAAAGAACCACAGTGTGTCGGTAGGATTTATTCAATTAATAAATAACTTTTAGCGTTTTTAATTAGGTGAAGCACATTAATCATAGTTAAAAACATGTTTTATGGCCAATATTTCTTATATCATAAGTAGAAATTCATTGAAACCTGTAATAATGATGCCGTATTAACTGATTCTATTCTTTAACTTGCCAGTTAATTTAAGGGGTAATCCCTCTTTATGAATTTGATATAATCCAGTTTGTGTGTGTTATTGTTTGTTTGTTTATTTCTCAGAGGAGAAAGCCTGTCTACCTCCAGATATTCCTAATGCTGAAAATGAAAAAAAATCAAAAGATTGGTATGAGAATGGATCTGAGATACAATTTAAATGCAAAGCAGGATATTCTTTCAACAAGCCAAATAATACTGCACGCTGTATCGATGGAACATGGATCTCTGTGTCAGACTGTGTGGGTAAGTCAGTGGTGAATCAAAGATATATATATATATTTTTTTTTTCTTCTTTAAAGGGGAACGCCGTTTTTTTTTACATTGGGCCCTTGATTTTACGTCATTACATCATGTTCTACTCACCCATATGAGTTTTGTGTCATTTGGAGCCGTTCTGAAGATAATCTGTTAGGTTATATCCAAGTAACGTCTTCCTATGGGCAACGAGTTGAAGACACAAACTAAACTGTTCATAATTCATTCTTTATGATACGCCAGCATTCAGAACATGTAGGCCAATAAGTGTCCCCAAGACATCCGTGGTTATATTTTTTATATAACGGAATATCTTCAGAAAAAGCTTTAAATGACACAAAACTGATATAGGTGAGTAGAACATGATGCAATAACGTAAAATCAAGGGCCTAATGTACAAAAACCGGCGTTCCCCTTTAATATTCTTTGTTATATTTAATCAACAGAACGGCCAAGTGCTTGTGGCCGACCCCCAAAAATCCCCAATGCTGTCATCCTTCAGAACCAACATCAGGAACTGTTTGATGAATATTCAAAAGCGGTCTACTATTGTAAAGATGGATTTCTCACAGAGGATGAGGAACGCATGAAAATTGTTAGATGTATATTTGGAAACTGGACTGCTGGCCCAACTTGCAGTAAGTGGACATCGGGGTGAGATGCACTGTATTGCCAAAGGTAGTAAGTTGTCTGCCTTGATGCACACATGAACTTAATTTGTTGAGTTTAATACAATGTCGGCTGCTATCTTGAAAAAAAAAAATGTGTTAGTCCTATTTCAACAAGGAGAACAGTAATCTTCATTCATGCAGCATTTTTGCAACGTAGAACAGATACAGTCTTTAAAAATGTCCTTTATGCTCTGATTAGACAAAGGATTCCACAAACAACTTACAGGAATCCACAATTAGTTAAATATGTTGTTATTTTCCAATAAACTTAAAAACTGTTGTTTGTGGTACGCAAAAAAAGTCATAATTAATTGAAAACGTTTATATGTTTTGTTATAATTTTCCCCGATGTACAAGGGTGTAAATGACCTCACCCTGACATTGTTTGTTCTTACTGGATGAAAACCTACAGAGAAAACATAGAAAGTTACCGGAATAAATTAAGACAATGTCACACTGAGTCACGGCCTCAAAGGTTTTATAAACTGTTATACATCATAATCTATTGAAACAAATAAATGTGATCACCTTGTGATCTATTGTTTACTATTTTAGCTAGAGCTAAAACTTGACTTCCTGTTTGTATGATTTGTTTGTTCCTTGTTCATTTCCATACATTGGCTGTACTGTCTGAACCAAATATTGCCAGGTGATAAACATGTTTAAGCATTGCATAAAAAACCAAAAAAACCGACTTTCCTAAATATAAGCTTGTCAAAAAAAAAGTAGAATCAAAGAAATAAAATTATATACAAATAGTATTTTATGTGTTGTTGAAAACAGTGAGCAATAAAGTGAAATGAATGCACCTCTGCTCTGTGTCTCTTCCAGCACCTTCTACAAGACTTGGAACAAGGGTCACTGAACCCTCTTCCATACCCAGTAAATACGCATATTTATTTTTCTGTTTTGCATTTAAGTCAGATTTGTTTCCGGATGCAGCAGAAAATAAAATAAATCGTTAAACCCATAAACTCCACCAGAACAGCTCCACATGTTTTATGATATGATGTTTCTTGTTGTCAGTTGTTAAGTGTGGATCCCATCCTGTTGTTCGAAATGGAGAGCCTCTGGTATATCGGAGTGATCAGTTGAAGTACACTTGCACAAGATATTACAAGTTGGTGGGTCCTGAGATAGTAAGATGCAGGAGTGATTTAACATGGTCTGAACTTCCCAGATGTAAAGGTAAAAAAAATGCAACATTAAAGCTGTCACATAATAAAGACAGAGAAAAGTAAACATATATTTTATTTTTTGTTTCAGAGAACTACTGTCTTCTAAGAAATGGAGCTTATGAGGAACTAATATTAACCAGAGATGAATACATCCTAAATAATGAACAAAAGGAGTTTGATTGTCTCTCTGACAAGTACTGGTATTATAATTATTCTGTGGTTCGATGCATTGATCAGAAACTGCATGTATCCAGATGTAAGTACCGGTTTAAACCATATATTTAGATACCAAAAGCAGTTAGCCAGAAGTTTATTACCAACATAGTTTATAATTTATTATTATTACAAATTAGAGCATTCACCAAAAAGTAGTTGACCCAATTAAGCTGAGTCGACTGGTCTTTTTATGTGGAATAAGGTGTGAAGCCACAAACTATTTCTTGCTGCAGCAATTTTAAGTTAGGAGTTATGTTGCCTCACTATACATGTTCGTCTGAAAGGTGATGTTGTTTTGCTCTGTATTTTACCCTTTTATGAGGACACTGCAGGATTGCAGTAAAAATGTCTTAAATTAAGTGTATTTACCCTTAATTTGAGTAGATAAATTATATAGTTTGCCAATGGAATGAGTATTTTCACTCTTAAAATAAGATAATTACATAATATGCACTTGAAATAAGACAATGCAATTGTGTTTTCTTATTTTAAGTGTAACTTGTCTTATTCCATTGGCAAGAAGTCTCTTTTACCTCCTCAATTCAAGAACAGATGCACTTATTTTAAGAAAATATGACTTATCTAGATTTCGATTTTTTCCAGTGAGGGAGCCTTCATTTGTCACACATCTTGTTTTGGTCTACAGGCAGCACTCAACCGTCCAATTTAGTGGTGAAATATAGCTTATTGGTCCTTTAAAATACCATATTTCTTTAAAGAGTGGGACCACCTTTCTTTAAAAAGGGAGACAGGAGGGTGTGCTCCAATTACAGAGGGGTCACACTCCTTAGCCTGCCCGGTAAGGTTTACTCCAGATGCTGGAGAGGAGGATCCGGCCTATGGTCGGACCTCAGATCCAGGAGGAACAATGCTGTTTTCGTCCGGGTCGCAACACACTGGACCAACTCTATACCCTTCATCGGGTGCTCGAGGGTTCGTGGGAGTTCACCCAACCAGCCAACAAGTGTTTTGTGGATCGGGAGAAGCCTTTTGACCGTGTCCCTCATGGTGCCCTGAGGGGGTACTTCAGGAGTATGGGGCCCTCTGTTAAGGGCTGCCCGCTCTCTGTATGACTGCAGCAGGAGCTTGGTTGGCGTTCCTGACAGTAAGTCAGACCTGCTCCCAGTGCAAGTTGGTCTCTGCCAGGGCTGCCCTTTTTCTAGGCGCAGCCAGGGACTGGAGGGTGTCCGGTTTGGGAACCTCAGGATATCGTCTCTGCTGTTTGCAGATGATGTTGTCCTGTTGGCCTCATCATACCGGGATGTCCGACGTGCACTGGAGCAGTTTGCACCCGAGTGTAGGGCGGCCAATATGAGGATCAGCACCTCCAGATCCGACACCATGGTTCTGCATCAGAGAAAGGTGGACTCCCCTCTTCAGGTCGGTGGAGAGTCCTTGTCTCAAGTGGAACTCGGGGGGTCTTGTTCACGAGTGAGGGTGTGGCATGGGCAGTGATGCTTTGGCTGTATCAGATTGTCGTGGTTAAGAGGAAGCGGAGTTGGGGGGCAAAGCTCTCGATTTATTGATCGATCTATGTTCCCACCCTCACTAATGGTCATCAGATCTGGGTAGTGACTTAAAGAACAAGATCGCCAATACAAGCGGGCGAAATGAGTTTCCTTCGCAGGGTGGCTAGGCGCACCCTTCAAGATCGGGTGGGGAGCTCAGATTAGAGTCGTTGCTCCTCGACGTCGAAAGGAGCTAGCTGAGGTGGCTCTGGCATCTATATTGGATGCCTCCTTGTTGCCTCCCTAGGGAGGTGTTCCAGGCATGTTCTATTGGGAGGAGGCCTCACGGAAGGCCCAGGACACGCTGGAGGGACTATGTCTCTGAACTGGCCTGGTGTCGCCTCTGGGTCCCCCCAGAGCAGCTGGAGGAAGTGTGTGTGGATCGGGAAATCTGAGCATCTCTGCTTAGCCCCTGATAAGCGGAAGAAAATGGATGGATGAATGGTTATTTATTTCTTTAATATCTAATATTTTGTGCACGATGTGTCCACAATTAAATTAAGAGACTTCAAAAAATTTGAATATATCACCTTTAGCTAGTTTTCGTTAGCCTGGGTGCCATTCCGAACCTAGTCCCGCCCACAAGGTTTGAGGTCGGGAAGTTCGGTCTGGCTCTGCTCCATAGTAGCGCGAGTATGATCGCCCACCCTCTGGCGATCCAATCAAATTGTCAGGGCGGGCTTTATACAATGATGGACAGATGATCAAGAGTAACGTAATCAACCATGTGACCAAAGCGCGCATGGGTGACAACAACAATGGCTGCCGCCGGAGAGTTGAGGTGAGCAGATTCTGCTATTAGGTCTGTTCTAGAAGATATCGACAGCAAATTAATTTTAAAAGAGGAACAGAGAAAAGCAAACAAGGCTCATCTTCTTATTCTAGGCGTGCAACTGCACGCTTTGATTTTTGTTGACAACTATGCGTTGCTTAACATACGTCACACACTCCGTTGCTCTTATTGGTTGTAGGTCTATCCAATTGAGTGCAGAGGCATTTATTTCCCTGGTTCGTTCGAAACACGCCCCATAATCACAGCTCTATGGAGCAGCATCAGACTCATATTCTGACTAGAATTGAGTAGGACTACGTCCTTTCTAGAGAGCCATGGATCCAGCATTGCAAATCCCACATCCAGGGAGCTAAAGTCCAGTTGAGCTACTATGGAGCAGGTGAACATGTAAAAGATGGAAACTGGCTCCTCAGGGCTGGACTTAGCCAAAACAGGAATAGACACTGAAATGTTTTGAAATTCTCATGTATTTTCTATTCTTTTCAGGTTGCAACAGGGCACAGATCAATTTAGTGAGTGTTCATCTTTTGGATAAAAATTGTTTTAGTTGCAAACATTATTTAGCATTTCTTATATATAAACATATCCGTCTGGTACTGCTTTTATTTAACTCTTAAGCAATTTTTGTTTTTAATGTCATTTCTGTAAACAGAGAATGTGCTGAGATTCTACCATGAGGGAAAGATCTGGATCCATTCTGCTGATTGACTGAGGAAAAAAAGGAAGGACGGATCAATTAATTACAGCATCAGGTTGACTTCACGGCTACCCACCGAGCTGAGCTCCCATTCTGCTTTAATATGGCAATAAAGTTCAATCTTTCCCTGTTCATGTTTGTCTATGTCTGTAACTAAACAAAGTAAAAAGGAAAAAAAAAGGATTTTTCCTTTTAATCTTCACAGAACAGCAGTGATCGTAATTATTGCCTCTGAATGTCAGGAAATATCACTTCTGTAAAAATACAAGATAAACACAGAGATTTCAATCCTTTTTTTCATTAATTAATTGTTTATTAAAAAAAAAAAACCTCTCGGAATTAAAATAACAATTATTAACATAAGTACCATAAAGTTAAAAAGATCTGGAGCAAACAAGGCGATAAACCTGTTTGTTTAATAGGACAAAGTTTAAAATTGATTTAAAGCTTTGCAAACACTTCATGATTTTTTTACTGTCATCAAATTAGACCTTAAAACCTGTTTAAATGCAGATAGGAATCATATACAGAGTAGACGGTGTAAACAGTAATTGATTATGAGATGATTTACATTTCTCTTTGGTCGATTCTGTCCTGTAAGTTCAGGTTCTGTACAGTTCCGTCTTGAATCTAAATGTTTTCGAGCGGTCAGCGATTGTGGTCAGAGGTGGAGATAGTTTGCACAGAGGGAGCCGAGTCCAGGCCCAGCAGCGAGCCCAGGTAGGACTGCTCTCGAGGGTCCAGCATCTGATCGGGTCTAACGGGGTGAACGATGTTGGCAGGCTGAGGGGTGAGGGTGTACTTCTCCAAGAAAGACAGATCAGTAGCAGCTTGGTATCCTGGGTTCTGCTGCTGCCCCTGAACATTAGCAACACTGTGAGTCTGGGATGACAGAGCGGCCCTGTGGGGGTGCATGTCTCCCTGACCTCCTGCCACCATGGGAACAGGGACTAAAGTGACAGGTATGCAGAGGGTTGCCGTGTTAGAGGTGCTCCTTGATGCTGCCTTGGGTTCAGAGTGGTATGTCTTTTCGGTTTCCTCAAAATGAGAAGAAACAGTTTTTTCCTGGCTGGGCTGCGGCTCGGTAAACCTGGCGCTGTGCACATGGTCCACATGGTACTTCAGCTTGTCTTTCCGTTTAAAAGTGGCGCTGCAGTGTGGACAGTTAAAAGGACGGGCGTCTGAGTGAATCACCATGTGCTTCGTTAAGGTCTTCTTGATCCGAAATGTCTGGTGGCATTCGGGGCATCTGTGAGGTTTCTCACCTGAGGCAAAAAACATACAGTTACAACTGCAATGTTTTACATTGTGTTCCTTCTTCCTAAGCATTTAAAATGTTCTCCCCTGTAGGACAAGTAAGACAGGAAATCTTGTCAGCAGTTGGGTCAGATCGTTCTCTAAAGATTTGGATGGCTTTAAAATACAACATTGTAAAAAGTGGTATGAATTTCAAACCCAGTATGCTAGACAGACTCAACCCATCAGATAGTACAGGAAGTAAAAACCAAAAAAAAGGAAAATCTGTAACACTTTTTTTTAGTAAAAAAAATGCTTTGAAATGTCTTGAATGTGCTTTTCATGCTCTGAAGGTGGACCCGTTTTTATCAGAATTTAGATTAGATAGAACTTTATTGATCTCACAATGGAGAAATTCACTTGTGACATCGGCTCTTATAACAACAGAAGGGGCACAACGGAGGAAAACATACATGAAGTATGTTTTTATGCGTATGTTTATAATTTTTTTGAAATATATTTTTTCCTTTTCCGGATCTGAGAAATAATAGCGACAACTTTGTGCGCAAACAGGGATTTTTTTTAAATAAACAAACTAACAGCTTATACTGGATACAGGCTGTGCTTAAAAATTTTCTTTTTGATAAAGCTTAAAGGAATAGTGCACCCAAAACATGATTAGCCTTCATTTTCTGCTGAACAACACTCTGGAGTAATTTTTTGATATCTCAAATGCATCTGGAGATCTGGGAGGCTTCTTGCTGTCTGCTGACATTCAAATAATGGAGGTCTATGGCGCCCGAGGCAGAAAGGTCCATAAAAGTCCACAAAAAACGTGTCAATATTCCTCCATACTGCTCGTCCAATGTATTCCAAGTGTCCTGAGTGGGTAGCATCCAGAATTTACTCGAAACAAAGTCATTTAGAATGTTTTTAGAGCATAAACAGTAGTGTATAGGATTTCCTAAAAGCGCGTTCACGAGTCTACGGAAACCGCGGCAGACCAAACCAGATGAAAGTGCGCATTCAGCTCGGCAAAGAACTCATGCTCTTCCTCAACACTGAAGTCCTCAGACATTTTTCTTTCGTTGTTTCTTTCTTTGCACAGGTAAACAGCACATTTCTTCTTCTACGCTTGCATTATCGGCAGAGCAGACGCTGAATGTGCACTTTCGTCTGGTTTGATCTGCCGATCTGTTTCCGTAGACTCGTGAACGCGCTTTTAGGACGCGCTTTTTTTTGGACGAGCAGTATGGAGGAATATTGACACATTTTTTGTGGACTTTTATGGACCTTTCTGCCTCGGGCGCCATAGACCTCCATTATTTGAATGTCAGCAGACAGCAAGAAGCCTCCCAGATCTCCAGATGCATTTGAGATATCAAAAAAGTACTCCAGAGTGTTGTTCAGCATGGGGGTGAGTAGAAAATGAAGGCTAATCATGTTTTGGGTGTATTATTCCTTTAAGGTAGAGTAGCTCATCTTATTCTGAGCCATTTCAATATTCATGCTGCTATAGACTATGCCTGCTGGAGGACATAGGCTCTACTGTTCCTCTCTTTGCTGTATTCTATCTCCATTTACCAGTTCTTCAGTTAGGTCAACGGCTAATTTTTTGTTCTCTCTGTTTTTTCTCCTTATAGTAGCTTAATCTCGTCTTCTCCTCTTAAGCTTGAGTTGAGTTGCTGTCATTAACACCTTTCTGCCCCGTTTCTCACTGGAAAAACGGTCTAGAAATAAGTAACAATTTCTTAAATTCAGTGTATTTACCCTTAATTTGAGTAGGTAAATTAGATAGTTTGCCAAAGGAAAGAGTATTTTTACTCTTAAAATAAGATTATTAGATAAAATGCACTTAAAATAAGACAATGTAATTGTGTTTTCTTATTTAAAGTGTAAATTGTCTTGTTTCATTGGCAAAATGTCACTTTTACCCCCTCAATCCAAGAACAAATGCACCTATTTTAAGAAAAACTGACTTATCTAGATTTAGATTTTTTTCCATTGCTCTGCTCACTGCAAAAATAATATGAAATTAAGTAAAAATGTCTTAAATCAAGTGTATCTACCCTTAATTTGAGCAAGTAAATACGATAGTTTGCCAATGGAATGAGTATTTTAACACTTGAATTAAGATAATTAGATATTATGCACTTGAAATAAGACAATGCAATTGTTTTTTTCTTATTTCAAATGTAAATTGTCTTGTTCCATTGGCAAAGTTTCTCTCTTACCTCCTCAATTCGAGAAAAAAAGAACTTATTGTAAGAACTAATGACTTATTTAGATTTACATTTTTTGCAGTGTGTCTGCTTCTATCTCCTTGAACCCCAGTCGGCCTCAGCAGATGGCCGCTCACTCCGAGCCTGGTTCTGCTGGAGATTTCTTCCTGTTAAAAGGGAGTTTTTCCTCTTCACTGTCGCTACAAGCATGCTTAGTGTGAGGGATTGCTGAAGAGTCAATGAGCCAATGCAATCAACTGGTTTTTCTTAGATAGAAAATTTTGAATCAATTTGACTGCATGATCTGGTTGAATTGTCTCTGTAAAGTGCCTCGAGATGACATGTGTTGTGAATTGGCGCTATAGAAATAAACTGAATTCAACTGAATAACCTAAAAAAAAATGTCTAAATTTTCCAAGACATCCTGCTACATGTGGACAAGGCCTCAGTTCAGGCAGCTTAAGATGCAGTTCGTCTCCTAAATATTCAAACTAAGACCAACTTGTACTGGTTATCCTTTAATTACAATGTTGTGGCTAAAGTAAATCATATGGTTTATGACAACATTGATCATGAAAGTATTCAACCTTCCTGTCTTCACTTATATACTTTATATTTTGAAGCAAACGTAAAGATTTACCGGAGTGAGTCCTGAAGTGCATTTCCAAACTGGACTTTCCTTTGAATTCTTTTTTGCAGACCTCACACTGATGCAGAGCAGTCTTATATCTGAGAACAAAACCACCAGAGACAGAAGCATGACAGGTTTGTGAGAGGAAGAGTAACAGAATATCACTAGAACCAAACAAAACAGATTGTTGGTTTGTAGGACACACTTCTGCCAAACTTTCTCTCCCAAATGAACGCTTTTGTAGTGAACCGTTAGATGATCATGGCGCCTGAAGCACTTTCCGCATTCTTCACACTGGTGTGCTTTCTCACCTAAAAGCAAACGCAGACTGCATTGAATGCAACACTGGATGGCAATAAGGCCTTACTTCGGTAAGGTTGATGTAAGGAATTGAGGACAGTAATTTTCAGAGTATTTACCAGAATGTATTTTCTGATGCTTAGTCAGGTGATCGTGCCGAATGAAGGTTTTCCCACATTCGTCACACTCGTAGCGCTTGTCATCGTGGTGGACTCTGAGGTGAAGTCTTTCCAAAAACAAACAGGTGAGGTTTTCAGTGCCACAACCAGCCAAACTGAAAGTATGGAGTATTTGTAATCGGAAGAAAGATGGTTTACAAAAAAGACCTCCCACCTGTAGGAGCTGCTGTGACGGAAACTTTGCCCACAGATGCTGCAGAGGTGAGGTTTCTCTCCGCTGTGGATACGCAAGTGCTCCCTTAACGTCGTCCTGATGGGAGAAAGGAAATAAACTTTGGCTATAAATTTAAATAAAACCATGAATTGAAGGGAAATCGATTTATAGTTTTTAAAATTTCATTTGTCAATCATGCCTTATTTTCCTCTGACACCCCTAAGTTAATGTCATCGCAACCAGTTTTGCTTCAGAAGTCCAAAAACACATTATGACTGGAATAAATTATACATCAATCAGATTTAGTCATTTCCTAAGATTCCTTCCTTCATTCCTTCCTTTTGTCATTTCCTAAGATTCCTTCCTTCCGTCCTTCCTTTTGTCAATTCTTAAGATTCCTTCCTTCCTTCCTTCCTTCCTTCCTTCCTTCCTTCCTTCCTTCCTTCCTTCCTTCCTTCCTTCCTTCCTTCCTTCCTACCGTCATTTCTTAAGATTCCTTCCTTCCTTCCTTCCTATTGTAATTTCTTAAGATTCCTTCCTTCCTTCCTTCCTACCATCATTTCTTAAGATTCCTTCCTTCCTTCCTTCCTATTGTCATTTCTTAAGATTCCTTCCTTCCTTCCTTCCTTCCTTCCTTCCTTCCTTCCTTCCTTCCTTCCTTCCTATTGTCATTTCTTAAGATTCCTTCCTTCCTTCCTTCCTCCCTTCCTTCCTTCCTTCCTTCCTTCCTCCCTTCCTTCCTCCCTTCCTTCCTTCCTTCCTTCCTTCCTTCCTTCCTTCCTTCCTTCCTTCCTTCCTTCCTTCCTTCCTTCCTTCCTTCCTTCCTTCCTTCCGGGATGTAAATTAACAAACACTAACTCAATATTTTTAAATTGTATGCCAATATATTTTATTTATTTGGATAGGTTTTTCTTTCCATAACTTCATTATAAAAGACATTTCTAAATTGAATCTTTAACCTAAATGTCCCACAGGCCCATTTTCTAACAAACAGCAGTAGACATGAGATCATGACCACTTACTAGCACTTATAAACATAAACCATCTCGATACAAACCATATAGACTCTATGCCATCTATAAAAACATCTTGATATTTTTAAAATATATATATTTCCTAGCCGTAGGAAAACCTCATAAGATCTCATTGTTGCTCTGCTGCCAGCAGCCCAGACTCTAACCTTAGTTAGAGTTAAGGTCTGGGTGTATGTGATAGACTATGAGGTGAAGCGGTAGCGCTTATAAAGGTAACTTTCTGAATATGAGAGGTACACGGTCTGAGAACCCTCCCCTTATAAATATTTAATTATCTGTGAATTAAATTCAATTGGATTCTCGTCAAAAGGACAAGCTATGTTTTTAAAACCTAGTAAATGATTTCCTTCCTACAGTTCGTACAAGAACTAGGAGAAAAATCTTGTAACTAAATCAAAAAATAAAACCACGAGGGTAAAAGGGGGTACAAACAGGGTAAACTCAGAATTCGTTGAGGAATACCAACGTTAACTCTGGGGAGAATGTTACTATGGTAACAGAAATAGAGGTTGAGGAAATTATCTTTGTAAAAAAAGAAAACATTTTCCTGATTTTAGCTTTAAAAACATTAACTTTCAGTAAACCAGCTCACAGAAAGAGGTAGGAACGCGGTTAAATAGTATGGAATGAGGAAATTGTTGATAAATCCAAATCCATATCATCATGATCATTGTTTATCCACATGTTTATTGTAACTGGATATTTAATATTGTGCAAATCACAGAGAAACCAGGATCAAATTGTACCTTTCCCTGACTGATTTCCCACAAACGAAGCAGGTCCACTTTCTTTTGCCCCCATGTGTGCACTCAATGTGCCTCTTCTTGTTGCCGGTGTCATTGAACTTACGTCCACAGATCTCACAGGGAAACGGACCTGTGCATGGGGGATAAAAACAAAAGAATCTATTCTAATTCAACACTTTTTAATAACACTAAAATGGGAGTAGCTGTTTATAATGAGAGCTGTGAAGTCAGTTAGAGATTGTTGTTTTTTTTATTACTTTTTTTGGTTTTTAGAATGAAATCTGTAAAGTAGAAAAGCATTTGGACAAGCAAAATAAAAGGTGTTCTTGATACTGTATGTATCTCACCTAGGTGATATTTTTCTTGGTGCTTCAGCCTTGCAAACCTGGACTTAAAGAACTCATCGCAGAACGTGCATTTGAACGGCCGGTCCTGCGTGTGCAGGATCATGTGCTCCTGGAGGTGAGGCCTGCGGCTGAATGTCTTTGAGCATATCTGTCAGACAGTTCAAGACAGGGAAGGTTTTAAACATATTTCCATGTAGTGTTGTGTAGAATAACGCTCTAATCTAATGTAAATATCCTTATCAGTCTCTGATATGTGATAAATGTGTAGGCGGCTCTTACTGCACATTTCCAGCCGTCACTTTTCTTTTTTTTGGCATCAAAGAACTCCTGCGTCTGATCGGGATGAAACCTAAAACACATAAAACGTTTTATACATATGTTATTATGAACAGGCACAAACAGCAAGTTTATTATTATTATTATTTTTTTTTATTTAAGTAAAAAAAATAAAAAATATATAATAAAAAAAAAAAAAAATAAATAAATAAATAAAAAAACAGCAAGTAATTTTTTTTTTAGTTAGATTAAAAAATAAATAAAGAAATAAATAAAAAATAAAAAAATAAAAAACAGCAAGTTAATTTTTTAAACATTTTTTTTATTTAGATTAAAAAATAAATAAATAAAAAATAAATATAAAAACAGCAAGTTAATTTTTTTTTTAAATTTTTTATTTAGATTAAAAAATATATAAATAAATAATAAAATAAATAAATAAAAACAACAGCAAGTTAATTCTTTAAAAAAAAAAATTCATTTAGATTAAAAAATAAATTAAAAAATAAATAAAAAAAAAACAAAAAAAAAACAGGTAGTTAATTTTTTTTTTATATTAAAAAATAAATAAATAAATAAAAAATAAATGAATTAAAAAAAAAAACAGGAAGTTTAAACCGCCACATCACATTAGGAGATTCGTGTGAAAAATTCATCTGTTTCATTTCCAAAGACTCTCCGCGTCATCTGAGCGACATATCTGTTGATCAGGGTGATATTTATGGACCAAACTAAGGATGTTTATCAATTTTTATATTTGCAAACCCTCGTCACGAGCTATGTCTTGTCCTTTGTGAAATGTTTTCACAGAGCAGTGAGGAAAAGAACCAGAGGCACCAATAAATGTCTAACTTAAAAATGCCCGGTTTTCTCTTTAAAGACAACTGAACTGCAAAACCTGATCAAGATATTAAGTAGAGATTTCTTAAAATAAGTGCATCTGCCCTTAATTTGATGATCTGCCAATGGGACATGTATCTTTTCCTTTAAATTAAGATAATTAGTTCTGCACTTGAAATAAAATAATGGATTTTATTTTGATTTTACAAATAAATTATTTTTTGTCTGGCAAACTGTGAAAAAGGGAAAATATATCTATTTAATTTTTGAAGTATTTTACCACAATTGGAAATGTGTTTTAAACAATTTCTACATCTGCATGAGCACAGAAGAACTGGTTATTAAATAAATCTTTAAATCAGATAATAGAGATTATTCTTAGGTATTTTAAGCTTAAATTATCTTATTCCATTGACAAATTGTCTTACTTACCTATATAAATTTAGTAAAAATACATGCATTTAAAGAAAAACTCCCTTTAGTTATATATCAGTTTTGCTTTACAGGCATGGACCTTCCTGTTAACTTTAGTAAGTGCCAGAAATAGCTTCTATGATTACATTTTAGAGTATGGCAGCCATTTAAAGTGTCCTAATCAATTCATAATTAAAAATATGTTTCATTTACTCTTATTTGGTTTCATTTCACCAAAAACATTTCTAAAGCACTTTTTCAGAAAAAAGTGTTTGTTTCTATATAATTTTGAGATGTTTATTTAAGCTGAACATACAATCAACATATGGAAAAACTGACCCTGGCAGGATGCCGTATAAAACATTTGATTCTATTGGATCTCAGTCAGGATCAGCTTTATCGCCACAAACTAGAGCAATGAAGGTTCTCTTAAGGTCGATTCCAATAGGGATTATTTTGACCTGAGTCTAAAGCTGAGGTCACACCCGTTACTAAGGGTGTAAATCACACCCATCATGGCGATTCGATTCAGTATCGTTTTCCTGACCCAACGATTCGATTATTTTCGATACTCAGGAATACACCACAATACGATTCGTTTCCATTTGATTAATTTTTTTTTTTTTTTTTTTTTTTTTTACACCTTACAGGACAGTGCTTCAGACAGGAGGCCGGCTTGTTTTGTTTTTATGACCGAAATTGCGGAAAACAACTCGTGAAGTTTGACCCGCTAGAAGAGCGAGGTGCGTGAGAACGCTGGGATCCTTTTTCCACCTAGATCTCCGCTCTTTTTGGCCCTCACGTCCCTCCGTCGTCGGACTAAACTCGCCCCCACTTCCTCGCCGCCTCGGCCGTATCTAGACCCACAGTGTGTAGCTCAGACCACGCTTCAATATTGAGCATAATTTAAAAATGTCTGTGTCAAGCTCACTGCAACAAACTGCTGTAAGAGTATAACCAGGAAGCGAGGTAGGAGGGCAAAATAGGTTTAGCGCCACCGCAGCACGGGAGGGAGAATTACGTCCAGGAGCAAATGGATAAAAATAGATCGGAGGAAAAAAAAAACATGAATCGATTCTCTTGCGGACGTGTCGATGCATCGAATCGTCGGCTGTTGGATCGATGCATCGATACAAAACAATTATTGTTTACACCCCTACCCGTTACATCAGACTTTTTAATCACAGATCCGATTTTTTTTCATGTTACACCGACTGCATAAAGACGAGCTCCGACTAGGCAGGATGAGCAGATCTGAGCAGATCCTCTGTCGCTGAAACTATTACCCACATGCGACTTCAACAGATTATAATTCAATTCAGTTTAGTTATATAGCGGCAAATCACAACACATGTCATCTCAAGGCACTTTACAGAGACAATTCAACCAGATCATGCAGTCAAATTGATTCAAAGTTTTCTATGTAAGGAAAACCAGTTGATTGCATCGACTCATTGGCTCGTAGGAAATCCTTCACATCGTACATGCTTATAGCAACAGTGGAGAGGAAAAACTCCCTTTTAACAGGAAGAAACCTCCAGCAGAACCAGGCTCAGTGTGAGCGGCCATCTGCTGAGGCCGACTGGGGTTCAAGGAGACAGAAGCAGAGATACAGAAAAAAGCCGAAATACAGAAAATTGTGTCAAGTGTGATCATCCAAGCTCTATATGAGCGCTAAACATCACAACCAATCCCAGATATGTGTTGCTGATTTTCGGAACTGGCTCGACGTCTTACCTCCTGATGTGCTTTGCCAGAGTCTTTTTGCTGGCATGGAGTTTGTTGCAGAAGGGACATTTGTGCTCCTTCTTTGGAATGGGAGCGTCGCTAGCGTGCCTCTTCTTGTGAACAGTCAGGTTGGACTTGGTGGAGTAGCACTGGAGGCAGATGTCACACTGGAAAGGCTTCTCCCCAGTATGGACTCTGGTGTGACTCTCATATTTCCCTAAATAATTAAAAATCAAATCAGGCCATAAATCCTAGAAGTCAGTTATCATCTGCATAAAAGGAAACTCTGGGAGGAACCCACCTGCACGATCAAACGTCTTTTCACATTTGGGACACTGGAGAGTCTTCTTGCTGGACGTTTGGATGATAACCGGAGCCAGACCCTCTGGGTACTCTGGGCTCTGGTTGGTTTTTGCTCCCGGTGGCGTTTGAACTTCCCGATCGGGCCCAGATGGTGGCTCTGTCTGCTCAGCGTGTGAGTAGTCCTCTGCAGTGCTAACAGCCCCGCTGTTAACATCTCCTTGCTCGACCTCCTCAGCGTCCTCCTCCCCTACCTCGTCCCCCTGAGCTGGTCCCTCCATCGCATCTCGATTTTCCTCTGTAGCTTTCACCTGGTTTTTATCTCGTTTCCCCGGTGATTCAGCTTCTTCTTGCTCGTTAGGGCTGCTGATGGGGTATTTCCCATCATCTTTCTTATATTTAACGGGTGTTCTTCTTGTACGAGCTGATCTCCTCATGGTCGTACTCTTCAGCCTGGTTCCTACCTGAGCTGAACTCTCAGCAGCACTGCACTCCAGGGAGATTTTGCTGCTTGACTGGATGCTCTGGATCTCAACATCTGCTCCCACAGAGACACAGGAGGGAACTAACTCAGAAGCACAACTCATTTCAGCCTGGGGAGGAGCAGCTTTACCGTCCTCGCATAACAGCTTTACTACGTCCACCATGTCCAAAAATCTGGCGGCTTCAGCTACAGCCGGGAGGTCGGTCTCTGCAACGACACACTCCGACGTGTACAGAAAGCCAAGCAGATACTGGAAAACTGAATCTTCCACATGTTCCAGAGTGAAGTGAGACTCGCTAGCTGGACTCTTAGACAGCTCCGCGTGGAAGTAGCTGCTCCCGTGAGCCAGGACCGCCTTGTGGGCCCTGTAGGCCCTTCCACCCACCCACACAGACACGTCGCAGAACTTCTGCACGCTCCGGTCCTCGTTCAAGAAAGCGAGGAGGCTGTCACCGCGCTGCGACATAGCGAGGCTTTTGAGAGGGACGGGTGACTCCTGGGTGGTTTTGAAGTTTGATGGGACGATGCATCCCTCCGCAGTGGAGGGGTCTGCGACCGGCCTCCCACGCCGTGAAAGAGCGCCGCTGTTCAGCTTTTTCTTCATCCTGAAGGTTTTCAGGTAAAATGGATCAGAGCTGGAAAACAGAAGAAATGAAACAGAAGTGATGAAGCCAAGCAAAGCTACGTACATTCACACCAGCAGGGGGAGCCGTTAGTCTTAAAAATCTCACAGAGGACAGCTCAGAGCCATTCATCTGTGGTCAAAAGGATCAGAAATTTTCATTTAGATTTTTTTTTTATTATTTAGATTTTAGGAAGCTTTTTTAGGAACTTTTAAAATTTTAAACTAAAAATACAAGAACATTTAATAAGTCCTATTAAAGGAGGTGTGGGCTTTTATGGGGCGAAAGTTGTTCCATTATTGTGGTAAGGAAAGAATGTGTTTTATAAATGGAAATTTATAAAAAAAAAATATAAAAATTGTAATCAGGAAATAAAAAAGCAGGAAAATAAAATTGTATATTAAAAAGGGTTTGAAAGTAACCTTGCTTTTTCTCTAACTTTTTTCATATTTTATTCTTTGACAAATTTCTAATGTTTTCTTAATTTTTTTTATTTTCAGAGTTAATTCAATGGATTACGTTCTTTTGAAACTGCATTTTATAGATCACACTGTCTTCACTTTAAACGCTCTGTCTTGATCCTCACATTGACCAATACGATGTTTTTGCTAACATTCTGCAGACCGACAGAAATCTGTAAAATTCTGGAAAAGGGACTTTTGAAAAAAAAAAAAAAGTTAAATAAAAACTGGAAAGATAAAATATGAAAATAAAATAAACTATTTCATTATTTTAAAAACATCTGAGAAGATGTCGCAAATCTATTTTTAAAATCTATTTTTCATTTGAGGTTTTTCTAAAATTTGGTTTGGGATCTTTTACATTTTATTTTTATTTACAAAAAATGTTTTTTGTTTTCAACGACAATCGCAGAAAAAAATCACTCCACATCATGGACAACTTTACTGACAGGTGTCAAAGGTAACTGCCTTGGGCGCCCTCTGCTGGACCTGGTAATTAATTAAATGATGAAGTTTATCACGTTATTTTAATAATCTTAGGGTACATATTCTTGACGTTAACATTTATTCTTTTTTCCTATTGTCTTTTAAAGTTGTTGTCATATCCTTCATATATACGTTATGCTTTTGATTGTATAGCTTTATGTTGCTATTAATTCTGCACACATCATATTTTAACATTTTAAGTTGTTGTTTTTTGTAATATTGTAGATCTATATTAATGCCTCTACCACTTAAGTATATTCTATGCTCTTAGCTAGTTAGCTACTAACAGACAGCTATTAGAGTTTTTCCTCTTATCAGACTGGGTGAAACAACTGAGCCGATCACAGCAAGTAAAGCACCCCTGTCTGTTTGATGTTGCCATGTTGCCTCTGGCCGAAATGAAGAAGAAAAAAAGTTTACCGCCGGCCGCTTCTTCCGGATCAAACCAAGAGCCTTGGTTTGATCTGGAGGACTTTAGGACTTTATTCCCGTAATTTTATGACTTTATTCTCGTAATATTACGACTTTATTCTTGTAGTTTTATGACTTTTTTCTCATAAAATTATGATTTAATTCTCGTAGTTTTACGACATTATTCTTGTTTTTTTGCGACTTTATTCTCGTAATTTTATGACTTCATACTTGTAATATTACGACTTTATTCCCGTAATTGTATGACTTTATTCTCATAATATTACGACTTTATTCTCGTAGTTTTACGACATTATTCTCGTTTTTTTGGAACTTAATTCTCGTAATTTTATGACTTTATTCTTGTAATTTTACGACTTTATTCTCGTAATTTAACAACTTTATTCTCGTAATCTTACAAATTTATTGTCATGATATTACAACTTTATTCTCGTAATTTTATGATTTTATTCTCGTAATTTTTCGACTTTATTCTCGTAATTTTATGACTATTCTCGTTGCGACTTTATTCTCGTAATTTTACGGCTTTATTCTCGTAATTTTATGACTAATTCACCGTAACTTTATTCTCATAATTTTACGACTTTATTCTTGTAATATTATGACTTTATTCCCATAATTTTATGACTTTATTCCCATAATTTTATTCTCATATTATGACTTTATTCTCGTAATTTTACGACTTTATTCTTGTAATTTTATGAGTAATTCATCTTAACTTTATTCTCATAATTTTACGACTTAATTCTTGTTATAGAATGACTTTATTCTCATAATTTTACGACTTTATTGTCATAATTTTACGACTTAAATCTTGTTATAGAATGACTTTATTCTCATAATTTTAGGACTTTATTCCCATAATTTTATTACTTTATTCTCATATTATGACTTAATTCTCGTAATTTTTTGACTTTATTCTCCTAATTTTTGGACTTTATTCTCCTAATTTTATGACTATTCTCGTTGCGACTTTATTCTCATAAATTTACAACTTAATTCTTGTAATATAATGACTGTATTCTCATAATTTTACGACTTTATTGTCATAATTTTACGACTTAATTCTTGTAATATTACGATTTTATTCTCATAATTTTAAGACTTTACTCCCATAATTTTATTACTTTATTCTCGTAACATTACGACTTTATCCTCGTAATTTTCTGACTTTATTCTCATAATTTAACGACTTTATTCCCGTCATGTTACGAATTTATTCTCAAAATTTTATGAATTTATTCCCGTAATTTTACGACTTTATTCTCATAATATTACGACTTAATTCTGGTAATTTTATGGCTTTAATCCCGTAATTTTATGGCTTTATTCTCGTAATTTTTCGACTTCAATCTCGTAATGTTACGTCTTTAATCTCGAAATAGAAGGAAAAAAAATCTCTAGCCTGGCCCTAATACTCGGGGCCATAAAACGAAACCAGTTCTGGATGGGGACTGTCTCTTGATGGCCCCTGTCTAGAGCCGCCCCTGATGACTGAGTGTCTTTACCTGGGCACCCAATTAATCATCCCTGGTCCGGCCCTGGCTGTCACTGCATCAAAAGATTTTGAACAATCCTCAAATACTACGTTGATAGATGTTAAAAATAGCTAAAGCGTAACAAGTTTTAGTAAAATGAAGAATTTCCGTAATAATACAGCGTAGTAACGCCGTTTAAGACGTTCTTTAAGGTTTATTGCTGTCGAGTGTTTCGCAGAACTAAACCAACCTGCACTGATTCTGCTTCATTCTTGACAGACTGTGTTTATAAACCCCCCCTCCACCTCCAGGAGCCCCCCTCTGCTGTTATCTGACGGGCGGGCCCCCCTCCGAGGAGAGCGTCGACAAACGACCTTTCCCGTTTCCTCATCAAGTCACTTTTTTCAATCGGGACGTATCAAAAATATCTTACCAATCACGCCAGAGATGCCTCCATTTTGACGTATTTTAGCACAGGCGAGGAGAAAATGGGAAAAATATAGAGGGCATAATAATTTCCTGAGCAACTAGCTGCAACGCCCCACCAGCAATGTCGGACGCCGAAACAAAGCGCTCCCCCATTGGCTCCTGCTTTCCTCCATTGCAGACGTAAAGTTGCGTAAAGCTCAACGAAACGTCCTAATGTTTTAAAAATAACAATACTTCTGTTTTATCTCTAAAACTTATAACGTCAAGCTACCTTTGCTTACATGGTTTAATGCACTGACATTTCAAAGCCTTGCTGACAGTAAGGAATCATGGGTAATGTAGTTCAGACTGCTTCAACTCGTGCTGCGTTCCCTTCCCCTCGGATTTTGGAACTCTAATCTAGGATCAATGCCGCATTTAGTTTACTTTTTTCCAACAGAATGATGCCCCATACTCTCCTCACCATATCATTAAAAAACAAATTACTCTCCCCAACCAAATAGAGGCTGGATTAAAGCCAGACATACCAACATTTGATGTTTTGTTTGTCGTCCAAATAAGTCATTTTATTAATTTTTAAATTGAAGTTATCATTATTATTATTTTTACCAATTGTTACATTATTGTTTTTCATCAGAATCTTTTCACCAGTGAAGAAAATGCTACTAAGAGTAACATATTTGCAGAAAACAAAAGTAGATGTAGACTGATGCATTAGCCAGCTGATATTTTTGGTCGATATTTGCATTTTTTTCGTTTCAGCTTTGGCCAAAATATGCATGCATTCATCAGTTCCATAGTGCATTCAGCAGCCAAATATGCAGTATTTTAGTGTAATGCAGAGTCTGTGACATGATTTAGAGTTTTTTTAAACAGTTCAGCTGTCTGATGGCGGATGGAATAATGTCTTTAATGGACGGAAGAGGAGCCCCAATGATCTCCTCTGCTGTTCTCACCACTCTGCTCACTTTCTTCAGCTTGGACCAAAGGAACAAACACTACCATCAGTAGCACACTACCACCAAAGGGACTTGCATCCTGCCTAGCCAGGTGTGACTCCCTGCTAAAAAGGTTTGTCAGAGAGCTGAAGAAGACGGAGAGAAAATCATGAGGTGAGATTAAATCAAGATAGAACTTTTTGGCAGAAATGTAACTCTCGTTTAGAGAATGAAAAGCGTCATACCTACTATGAAGCAATGGGGTGAAAGCATCATGCTTTGGGTCTGGTTTTGTGCAAAACGGACAGGATGACCGATCTGTGTTAAAGGAAGAATAATAAAGAACAAAAGTATTTGGCGATCCTCAATGTGATTTCTTGGATTTTCCTCACTTTGTCTCAGTTAAACGATGATGAGAATTACAGACCTCTCATCTTTCCAAGTAGGAAACCTGCACAATCAGTAGCTGACTGAATAGTTTTTTTGTCCCACTTTATCTTTGAGTTGTACATTGCTCTTTTAAAAAAATATAATCTAAGTTCAAGTTCATCGCTTAGAAATCTCGCACGTTTAGGTGTTGCTCCGTGAGATGCCATAAAAAAATCCCGTTGCAGTCTCTTACATAACATCTCTTTTGTGTTTGGGAACATGCTTGTAGCTGCTGAGATTAGCCTCCCCAGTGCAACCCTCCCCTCCCCAACATGTTTAATGTGTAAGACTGTGTAAGTGAATTAGCTTAATCTCTTCTATCTAACATAACCCAGGCAAAGCGTTGCTCTGAACGCATAGCTGCATTAAGGGGAGTAGATGACGATGGAGTTCCACGTGCAAGTATCCTCCAGATGTTTGTGATCTAAAATTGAAGATAGAGGCCAATTTGGAGAGCAATATTCATCATGTGTGTGTGGATTCTACTGTTGCTTTTTGCAGGTAATGTAACATATCCAATGTATAGTTGTAGAGTTAAGACCTGCTGATATTTGTTGCATGCTGCAGAAAGTAAAGCTCCTCGTTAGATATGTAGTGAAATATTATCTGACCTCTATGGTGCTTGAACTTTGTCAAATATTTTTCACATTATAGCCACACATTCATGACGCATATAGAAATTCATGCATAATTTCTCAAAATTGCAATTATTGTTATTAAGACTCATGGAGTCAAACATTTGTCAAGCCAACTTTTAGAGAAGGCGTTTTCCAAACATTTGACCTAAAAAAAACATAATAACAGACAATTGAGCCTGTATATGTTTTTTTTGTAAATATATATTAAATCTACTTTTAAAACGGTACATTTATTTTATGGGAAATTTGCATTTGTGTGTCTCATTATATGCAATCCCCCAACTTGGTGTTTATGGGATTACAGTCACAGGTCTTTTAAGGAAGCCTTGTGTCGGGTTCATAAATGTAGGTTTGCAAAAGAAGAACTGAAATACATAGTAATGGATACAATTTCTGCAGAAAGGAGAGAAAGTTGAACCCCAGACTCAAACGCACTGTCTCCCACTGGACCTCCTCTGCAGAGCGTTTTATTAACAGAACATGACACATGGTTACCAACAGAGTATTGTTCTGACAGAACAATTGATCAGTTCATAAAGATAGAATGCTCCGTCAGAATGACAAGGCAGGATGGTCTCCTGACTGGATCATGAGACAGGAGTGGAGCATCCCCTCGCACAAATGTTTCATAAACACACATTAATTTTATAATCATCATTGAATAAACCTAACACTTAGCATCTTTAAAAACTGAATAATTAGAATTTCCTTTGGAAAAAAAGCACAGTCCTAGTAATTTTGCATGGACTCCATCTTTGGTCTCCCCTTGCTTTACATTTCTGCTTCTATTTTACTGTTTTATTCATGTAAAGCACTTTGAATTGTCTTCATATTGAATATTGCTGTACAAATAAACTTGCCTTGCCTTTTTTTTCTGGTATAAACTTTGACTTGGCCATTAAAACACATGCATATCAAGACCGTTCTGTTCTACACAGAGGTCCTGGAAGCTCCGTCTCAGTCTCTATTTTTCTGTTGCATCTAACAGCTTTTCTTCCAGAATATCTCTGTTTTTCACTTCATCCTTCTGACCAGCTTCCCTGTTTCTGCAGGAGACAACTATCACCACTGCATGATACTGCTGCTGTTTCACTGCAGGTTTATGGTGTACTTAAAGAGATGTGCAGTGTTTGTTTACCCTTTCGGAAAAACATTTCAACTGACAAGTTTATTTTATGGTTCTTCATACTGTAACAGAGCAACTTCTCCGTCATGCTTGCTGTGTCCGTTGTTGTAAATTCTGAACAACTGTCCTTCATAGACATGTATCGGGTATTGTAGGCTAACAAAGAACCCAAACGACAGCCTATTATAAAGCGAGGACCCGTTCGTCCGGTTCAATTTGCATGTTTTCTAAGTCAAAACAAGGCTTTGTTTTTGGTCCACTCTATAAAGCCTCGAACTCAATGCTAATTCTGACATTTTTAATGGAAAAGGCTTCATTCCCTTCCATCTTTAAACTTGGAAATAAAGTCCAGTGGATTGTTTTTTAACTTTTTTTGGAACTTTCTTTCATCTCTGCTTTGTTTCTTCTCTGGCACCTCTGGCACCCAAACACAATGCTCTAATCACTAGGCCACCACTCCCCCTATAAGCCACCACTCCCCCTTATAGAGACCCTGTAAATAGTTTCTCTCTCCTAAACTGAGCTTCCTTGCAGCTCCTCCATGAGGCTCTCTGATCTCTGATTATCCGTGAGATAACTTCCACAACTGTTTGCATTGTATCGACATAACATACAAATCTTTTTGTTTTCTCTGCAGGAACATCTCACACTGAGGACCTCGGTGGATGTGAACAGCAGCCATGTCAAAATGGCGGAGTTTGTGAAAGCCACTCGGAAGGATTCCGATGCCTTTGTTCGCAGCAAAGCCAAAATGGACGCCTGTATGTTGGGGAGAACTGTACTGTTCCTCTTACAGGCTGTGAAGAAAGCCAGTGTGAGAATGGAGGAAGATGTTCTCCTTTGTTGGTGAATGACCAACACACTTTTATGTGCATCTGCCCTCCAGGTTTTTCAGGGCCTAGATGCCGGACCTCCACCACCTTCTCATTTGAGTCACAGGGCTACATGTACATAGACACAAAGCAACTAGAATCAGAATCACCTCTAAATTTGACCTTCAGCTTTAGGACGGAGAACCCAACCGGCACTCTGTTTCAACGTAGAGTGGATGATCTGTTTCTCACCATCGAGCTGATGGATGGACACCTCTGCCTCTTTAGCTTGAAGAATCAAAGCAACAAAGCGCTGGTTCAAGAACTCCCTGAGTATTTATCAAACAACAAGTGGCACACAGCTGAAGCATCACTGGGCGGCGCGGTCAGTCTCATCAGGCTTCTCTGCAGAGAAAGGAGCTGCACCAGAAACTCCAGCGCTGCAGTGCATCCGATGCATTCAACTGCTGCTCTGCCTGAGCCAGGAGCTGTTCGCCAAACCCTCTTCCTTGGAGCAATTGCAGGGAACTGGTCTTCAGGCGGAGTGGAGGATGAAGCAAACCATCCGCCTGCATTTCTGGGCTGCTTTAGGGATGTCATTGTAGATTCACTCCTGGTGTTGCCTGCTGAAGCTCCAAAAGATTCAAGCATCCAGGTGAACATCGTAGCTGGATGCAGTGACAGAGACAAGTGTGAGGACAGCCCATGTCAGAACAGGGGGCGCTGTGTGAGCCGGGGCTGGAGGAGGTACACCTGTAAATGCCACCGGCCGTATGACGGAGAGGACTGTGCAGAGGGTAACACACACACACTGAGGGTAGTTCTCAGGAAAATTTGAAAGTAAATCAAGCATAGATCAACTGTAATCACGTCTAACTGCATACCTTTTATAGCTGTGTAAAGGGAAGTTTTTTTTTTCCAGTGAACCAATGTTTTAACTGTTACTATATCTGATTTATATGTGATTGAATAAAGAAAAATATGACATAACAAAAGCCACACAAAAAAAAATCAGGTATGCTGCAAAATAACATTAGAAAGTCGCTTTTAAAACCCAAAAGATGCCTTAGATTCCATAAAATAATATGCAGCTTATTTCTGTAGCAAAGTAGAACTTAATCAGTTAGATACAGTTAGTTACACAAGAGTTTTATTGGAGGCGTGCAGGTGGTGCAGTGGTTAGCGGGAACGCCCCATGTAGGGAGGCCTTGGTCCTCAACATGGCCGACCTGGATTCAAATCCGACCTGTGATCCTTTGCAGCATGTCTCTTCCCCTTTCCTGTCAGCTTACTGTCGAAAAACAAGCCACTAGTGCTGTAAAAACTCAAAAGATAGCATAGTTTTTTGCACCTTGCAGTATGAAGGTTCCGGGTT